ACAATCAGTATATAACAATAAGAACCCAGATGAGTAAATCAATCATATGATGAGAAAAACACAACAAATCAACCCCATTCTTTCAACATACTGAACTTAAGTAACTCATCATCAAAACAAAATGTAATAAAGATATCAGATAGCAACTTACAGTCAAAGAAGGACAATCTGCAGAACCTAGAAACAGCTTGTGGCTCAGCAGAAGCAAAGCCAATTTAATTTATAGAGGGAAGAAGAGAAGGAACAAAAATCTGCAGACCCCATTTCCAAGGAAGTTTAAACTTGCTAAACATGAGCTGTCATAATTTTGAATCCCATCAATAAACATAGAAGAAAATGAAGTTGGGATACCCCTGGGAAATCCTATCTTTGTATGATCAGTGTGTCTGGCTTTTTCTCCTTCAACCACTAAATGGGCCTTCCTCAGTTTTATCTTTTAATTTTCCTTATATTTGAATTCTCTCTGCATCACTTTCCCTGATTCGAGTTTGAATGAATTAGAGTTGATTAGAGTTGAACATGGTGAGTAGGGTGTACTTATTAAAATTACATTTATTTCATAATTCAAAATATCCTTTTTGGTAATTTTATATTATGATAAATTAGTAATTCAATAAATAGTTTAATAGTATGGTGTACTCAGTTAATTTTAGGGTTCATTTAGCACCACTCATTATATATTAGAAGAAAAAAAAAGTGAAAATAAAATTAAACTATGCAAGATAGAAAAGTCTTTTCCATAAATACAATCATAATAAACCAAACGCTCTAGTATTCACATATAAGAAGATCACCCATACTCTGAATCATAGCCGCATTCGGCTGTCTCTCCTGCCAATATTGATCCAGCTGTCGTATTTGAAGAGAATTGAACCCTCAACTTTTCACAGTTAAACCATATCTCAAACGTTCCTGGTGCACTAGCAAAAATCCATCGCCAACCGCCCCATTCTACACGGATCTTTGCATGAATTTTGACGTTGAAATTCACAGCCCGAGTTTGGCTCCTTTCTGCATCAATGGCTCTGGCTATCTTGTTGCTAACAACTGCGGGGGAGGCAATAACAGCGACCGACAAGAACTCTGTCTCCTCCGGCTGCTGAACAAAAGGCCTGATCAATGCTCCTCCGAGAAACTCATCACTGTAAAAGACCTCGGCGTCGAGTACCTGATAAGTTACCCTAACAATGCTATAAGGGTTTGTCAAGAAGAAACTGATGTTCCAGAGAGCAGTTACTTGAGAGTTGAGAACAGAGACTTTGAAGAGCTCAACCGAAAACGAGTGCACCTGGATGCCTGAGGAGGAAAACCCTTTTGGTGTTTGATATAATGTGGCTGAAAAGAATAATGTCACAAGTAAAAACAGGGAGATAATACACGTCACGAACTTGTTCCTATCCTCCGCCTCCTCCTCCTCCTCATCATCATCAGCCCTTTTCAGATTTTTCTTAGGTGATGGTGGAAGCAGAGGTGTGTTCTCGTCAACTACAACTACAACCACCTTTTGGTCTGCCGATTTTGCTTCAATATTGACTGCTTCCTTTACCTTTGGGTGTAACTGTTCTCTATCAATGTCGTGTGGCGGTTCTTCATGATTCTGCTGCACTGCTATACTCATGTTTAGTTTAAATTTAGGGTTTGTGTGTTTGCTTGCTACGAATTAATGCAGAAAGAAGATTATGATGAATTAATAAGAAAATCTAGCAAGCCCCTGGTTTCTGGTTATTGGCGTTGTTGGTTGTCTTTTAAAGGGTAACCAAGGAGGAGTTGTTTGTTTGTATTTCTAATTCCTAAATACGGTAGATTCTTTATTTTATTTTTTTGTTTGAAAAGGGAAATTCTTTCCAAAGAAGATAACCACTCATGGATGTTTACTTACAAGCAATGAGCATGGGAAGAAAAGGAAGTTTTTCAATTCCTGACTTCCCGGATTACTGACACATAAGGAATGAAATATATGTAAGACCCACCTTAAATCCTTAATCACATAACTTTAAAATCAAGAACCAAATAAACTAAGTGTTGTTAATTCTTAAATCCTTAATCACATAACTTTAAAATCAAGAACCAAATAAACTAAGTGTTGTTAATTCTTGTTCTCCAAAAATAACCTTACAACTTTATCCCAATTATTTTGATTTCAATATGGTTAGTAAATTACTTAAATGGGAATGACTTGTTCTCATACCAAGTCATTCCAACTGTATCCCAATTATTTTATTCACGAATTCACCTACTAAGAGTTAAATTTAGATGCAAGGATCTTGTAATTTATGTGATTAAGAGCATTTATCTTGATATTTGAGGTCCTAGAATTTTTTTTTTTTTCTTAATAGCGCTAGTATAAAAATAAATAAATAAAATAAAGTCAAATTTAGACTTGTAGATAACAATTGAATATTCTTTGTCGTATGGAATACGAATTCCAGCAATGGCCAAACTCTTGCTTTACCAGATTTGAAGTACATCGCGGTGCGTTGCCAGACTTACAATATTGCAGTGGCATTTTAATAAATAAGAAATATAATAGGAACAGAAACAAATTCATATCATTGTCACAGTTATTGGTGTTCACAAAAAAGATTAACGGGCATGGGTATTGGCGTTCAGAAAATAAAGGTTTGCATTGGGGATGCTTTTTAGTATATAGGATAGGACACCGAAAACGTGTCAATATAATCTCGTTTTGTGGACACCAATATCCATGCCCATTGAAAGTTTTTTTTAGTAGCGAGAATTGGTGAATGGGAATATCAAAGTTTGTGATAAACGTGTCAATATAAACTCGTTTTGTGGACACCAATATGGCAATATCCATGCCCATTGAAAGTTTTTTTTAGTAGCGAGAATTGGTGAATGGGAATATCAAAGTTTGTGATCAAGAGCTCCATTGTGCAAAGGCATCACAGTGAAATATCAAAACTTTGCATAAAAGTTTTTTTTTTTTAATAATATAGGCTCCTATATTGGGTATAATAGTAAATCTCCCAGTAATCAAATCTCTTTTTATCCATTACTAGTAGGGGTGGGTACGGTCCGGATTGGATCAGTTTCACGTCAAAACCACGGCTGAACTAATTAAAATATAACGGTTTGGTTTGGTTTGGTTTGGTTCGGCTGGTTTGGGCCTAAGCCCAATTCTCTTTCTTTTTGCATTTTTTCAACATTACTAGCCCAATTATAACTAATAAATTCACAACTTACTTCTTACATAAATCATCTTCTAGAGTACGAAATCATCCTAAAGCTCAAAAGGTCATAAAACTTCATATTTCACTAACTAATATAGCTTAATTCAAATATTCATATATAGTTATTAATTAATTAGAGTATTACACGTATAAAATAAAATAAAATAAATAAATATACACATAAACGGTCCGGTTTGGTTTAAGCTGGTTTACAAAAGCTCAAAATCAAACCAAACCAAACCATATACGGTCCGGTTTGATTTTCAAACCGTTTGACTTTTTCTTAGTCAAAACCAAACCAAACCAGTAATTACGGTTTGGTTCGGCCGGTTTCATCAGTTCGGCCGGATTGATGCCCACCCCTAATTACTAGTCTCTCTGCACGCTCTTTCGCGCCTGCAAGATGCTTTTTTTTATTTATATTATTTATTTAAAATTTAAAATTTATTTAGAATTAAAAAAGATAATGGGTAGTTGTGTTGCATAAAAATAGGATCCATTGTATGATTTTTCTTTTAATTTTAATGTTTTTAATATGAAAAAAGTGTGAATTTACCATATTATCCTCATTTAATTAATAATTTCAATTCTTAATGTTTGCATTAATCAATGGCATTTTATGGTATTTTGAATGATTCACCATTCTCTGTCTTTTGCTTTATATATATAGATTTATAAGATAGGTGTCATTTTTATTACTAGACTTAAAATCACCTTAAGTTATATACAACTAGTTGGTCAAGAAATCATATCATATATATAATTTCTAGTTCAGAATTAAGCATGATGTATAAAAAGAACTAGCAAACAACATGCATAAATTTCTGAAATGACAAATTAACAATAACGCTGAATTGGAGAAAATTCCTCACAACTGATAAAAATTACAAACATATGTGAAGATCAAATTTTCTTTCAACCAAAATGGCATTCGCGTCGCCCTCTGGGAAAGTTTGATCCAACAAGGTTGCCAACACTGTGATTGAAACCATGGAATCAAGTATATATTTATTGATTTCAGTATTCTTGCAAAGGCATATATTTACTGTTTGCGAAAAAAAACAACAACATGTTTTCGGGTATGACAGCCAAAAAAGCTAAGTTTGTATATGACATATCGGAAGCCAAGTTGTACGCCATCAAAAAAAGCTACCTTTTGTGGTATCCACTAGTGTAAATATTTTAAATTGACGATCGAATGCAGTCATTGTATTCATATAGGGTCAAGGAGTGTAACTGTAAAAAAATCATCAAAATCAGAGTTGAAATAACCGTCAAACTCAATCAAAGCCCATAAAGAATTTAGAGCCTCAAGTCAAACCCAACCAGATCCCATAAGCATTCGGATGAGAAACTGGGTACCCCCACAAGCATCACCAACCACCACATCCCAACAAAATACCAAATGGGTGCCTCAAATGCCCATCACCATGCATTATGAAGTCAGACCCAATTCCTAGTTATAAACCCTAATTTGTTTTCAACTAATAAGATTAACCAAAAGCATACAGTTTGAACCAGATTTTCTCACGTCTTCAGATCACTATTGCAAGATTTTAACTTCTAACTTATAGAGGAATGTAAGTCCAGAAAAAGAGTACGAATATATTTTCGCATCGTTCCATGAATTTTCTCAGCAACCAAACATGTAGACCACAAGATACTTGGATAAAAATTCACCACATAACAAAAGCACGAGCTTCGCTGACAAATTGAACGTGTATTACTTCAAAATAAGGGTACAAATTACATCAACGCTAATTTTAACCGCAAAATACCTAATAAGCCAAGAGATCTAAAGCCAAGATCTGAAACTACCCTAAACCTAATATACACAATACACAGCATGAAAAATTCCCAATCTAACCCCCAAAACCATAGAGGGTCCTTCCCTGCCTCTTCAAAGCATACACCACATCCATGGCGGTCACAGTCTTCCTCCTGGCGTGCTCAGTGTAAGTCACTGCATCACGAATCACATTCTCAAGAAAGATCTTGAGGACGCCTCTGGTCTCCTCGTAGATCAGACCACTGATACGCTTCACACCACCTCTGCGAGCCAGACGACGAATCGCAGGCTTGGTGATGCCCTGGATGTTATCTCTGAGGACCTTGCGATGTCGTTTGGCTCCCCCTTTGCCCAAACCCTTACCGCCCTTTCCTCGGCCTGACATTTTCTCAGAAAACTTTGGGAAATTTTGAGTTTCGAAGAAGATGAGTTATTAGAGATGATTTGACGGGTTAAACAGAGGAGGGATTTTGGGTATTTATATTGTGGGGAGTTGGGGATTTGGAATTTTGAAAGTCTAGCGGGGTTGATAGTAGCCGTTGGATGTGTATGCTTATCGACTGCTGAGAGAGTCGATCCGCGTGAAACTCTGTAATTGGTTTTGAAGCGTTGATTATGTTTGAATCTACGGTGCGGAGATGTTGAATTTGGTTTGACACGGATTGTGCGTTTTTAGTGAGGGTGAATAAGGTGTTTGGTCTTTTGGCGCAGTTTGGAAGGCCAGCCGAAGAGCGCAAAGGGAGTCTGCGAATTTTGAGTTTGAAATTTTTGAGTTTGTTTCGCATGAAAATTTTGGGGAAAACAGGCGCGCAGCACGTGCCTTTCGCATCGGTGAATTACTAAAACACCCTTGAATGCGGTATTGCACTATTTTTTTTAAAATTTATTTTCAGTATACTGTATAGGATGGACCAATGAATTTGTGCCCAAAAAAACAAGTATACTGTACCAATAAATCTTTCAGCCACCTTCAGTGTGGTTGACTGGACTAAATTATTTTCAATTCAATCATATAAATATTAAGAAAATATTTGCCTCCTTCTCTAGAAGTAAGAGCTCTTATTTTACTGTCAATCACAATTTGACATATGTGTAGAAACTTCTATTTTTATGTTTTTGAAACATTGTTTTTGCATATGTGTTAAACTATGATTTGCAGGAAGTATAAAATGTCTATTTACAAGGAAGGAGGGAAGCAGTGTCCTAAATATTATGGTAGTTATTGGTATGTTGGAATTTGGCTTATTAAATTGGACAATAATTCAATATATTATGTCTTACAAGGAATGATTCAATAAAAGGAATGAATTTCATAAGAACTACAAGTCCCATATAAAGGAATGAATTTCATAAGAACTTGTTTGTACTAAAATTCAACCTGTCCAAGTTGAGCCACCAAATGAACCCTTCAAGTATGGTACGATAGTTAGTAATTTTTTATTTTTTTTTTTATAAATCCAATTCAATTTGAACCAAAAAGCCTTTGTAAAAAAACTCGGGATTGTAGTTTTTTTGTTGGTCAAATCATATTTGTGGTGTAGCTTTGTTGTAAGTGTTTTGGATCTTTTTAAATCATCTTATAGCCGAGCCTTGTAGTGAGAACTTATAACTAAGTCTTGTAACAAGAACTTATAACTAAACATGACATTAACATGATTACTTTGTGAGGGAGTTAAGCTATGTTTACACTCAGAATAAACAGCCAATAAGAGCAAGACACGTGGAGGAAACTGGGCTTGGTCAGAGGCGCCCTCGGCACTACAGCCAATAAGGGCAAGACACGTGGAGGAAACTGGGCTTGGTCAGAGGCGCCCTCGGCACTCTACCTACCGATATCTCCGTTAGGGCAACGCCCTCTCCTGGGACACGTGGCACGCTCCCAAGCGACGTCCACAGTCCCACATCGAAATTATCAAGAAAATGCACACCTCCTAAGACCTATAAAGGGAGGCCAACTATCCCAAAATAGAGGTAATAAGAACTTACGGCATACAAGCCTATTGATCTGTCAGTTGAACTTTCTATTCCCGAACTTACTTAAGCATCGGAGAGCCTTCGGCCGGTACCACACCGGTGCCCTAGGTCTTACCGTGCGTTTGCTCATATTGCAGATCGCACAGACTACCGAGGCATCAAGGATACCGAAAGCATAAAATTACTAAGTTGACCCTCAAAGTCAAAGAACCACTTTTTGGCGTCAACAAGCTATGTGAGCAAGATTGGTCTAGAGTGTGAGGTTGCATTTAGTTGGGGCACCCCACACACCATGAGTGGATAGCTAAACAAAACTTGGTAAAGCAAAGCATCTTATAGATATCCTATCGTTTATAAAAAATAATTATAACGTAATCCAAAATTATTATATATTGCAAGTAATTTTGCTTTTCACAATTGACAGAAACCCTAAATTCTGGATTTTGACAAAGAACAAATACCCATTCCCATCCCCCTCTCACAAGGACTTTTGCATAAATTTCCACGTCGAAACTTACAGCTCAAGTTATGCTCCTTTCTGCAACAATGGCGTTGACTATCTTCTTGCTGACCACTATGGCAAAAGACACAACAGCGTCCGACACCAACTTGGTCTCCTTTGGCTGCTGCACAAAAGGGTTCACGAATGCGCCTCCTAGAAACTCATCCCTGTGAAAGACCTTGGCGTAAATCTCTTGAAAAATTAGGCTGCTACTGCCATAAGGGTTTCTGAGGAAGAAAGTGATGTTCCAGTGAGCAGAGAGTCTGGAATAGCAACGTCCACGTTGAAGCGGTCAACGGAGAAGGAGGCTAGTTGGATGCTTGGGGTGGAAAACGTTGCTGGAGATAAACCGGCAATACCGCACGCACAAAAAATGAACCAAAACAAACAGCCGATTGCAAGCCATTTCTGTACATCACAGGGCGCCTCCTCAGCCCTGGTGGTCTTACTGTTACTTGATGAGGAAGGAAGCAGAGGTGTTTTCTCATCCACCTTTTGGTCTGCCAACTTTTCCTTTGGCTGTAACTTTTTTCTATCAATCTCGACTGCCACGTGTGGCGATTCTTCATCGTTCTTCCTCATTGCTCCTATACACATGCTACGAATGACCAGGGAGGGGAGGGAGTTGTTTGTTTATAATTCTAATTCCTAAATAGCCTCGATAACCACTGAATTTGAATTTGAATTTTTTTGTGTTGAAACATTTTCTTTTCAAAATTCTTAAGAGTCAACTTTAAACTTGTAGATAACCATTGAATTCTTTTCCGTATGGAATACAAACTCTTGCTTTGCCCACATATTAGAAGCCCTTTTCACTGAGCTTAAAAATCACCTTTATCAGATTATAGAGAAGATTATTTCAATCTTAACCAAAGAATTTATCTGTAGCCTCTAAACATAAACATTAGGTTTATATGTCATGAGTAAACAACAGTTTGTTTTTATAAAAAAAGATTCCGGTGCAAAGTAAAGAACAGTTATCGTTTCTTCAGATTTCGACAAACGAAGAACAAACCTTATCGACAATTTCAGCAATACTAACTTTTTGTTCTGTTACAACCCCAATGGCTGCAAGCTAACAACATATCATACATTTGGCTAGAAGACAATGTTATAATTCATATGGTACTATGTACAACGACCGAATGCATTCAAAGAATTACAAATTGAAGAAAGAAAAAAAAACTTGAGACCGGGTTGTTCTCTTTGGAATTCAAAATGGATTTGAATTTTCATGAGGCATGACAAAAAACTGAAATTAGTATTGCAGTTTCAAGTAACATCAACAAGAGAAAGCTTGCTATAGAGAGAGCTTCACGAACTCCGCCCACCTTCCTCGATCCTCAATCCTTTAAGACTCTTTGCTAACCAGATAGCTGTCTCCCCTTGGGGAGACTTTATCTTTCCCAAAAGGCCTCAAAACAACTGAGAGTTCCTCCAATCTGTTGTGCTGCAGAAAATCTGCAGATAGTTCTGGTAGTCCTTCTAGTGCCTCTGCCCTCTGCCTAAAAGACTTGACATCCATTATTTCCTTTTCTGGTATTTCCTCTTCGGTCATAGGAGGACTGGGCTTTGTTGGCTCAGAGGAATCAGATTTTTGAGCTGAAGGTACAAGGTTCCTCATCTCGGTTTTGTTTGTGCCTGATAAATCACGGCCATGAGCTGGCCGAAGGAGCCCTTTCTTTCGGCCCTGGCACTTGTTCGCAGAGGCTGAAACGCAGCGTTTCGCCAGGGCATATTCGCCTTCCTTAAAGAATAAAAGAAGAAATGCTAAGGCATGATCATCTCGGCCTCAAACGTAGGCCGAGGCCGAACATTTTGCGGCCAAGGCTTTAAAGGCAAATCATCACGTGACAACAGGGTCCCAGGCTTCATTTAATGAAGTAGTGCCTGTTTAATGCAGCAAACTCATTGGCCACAAAGTAGCATTTAATGCATGAGGAAAGGTGGGAAGTGACTGAAGTCAGGATTTGGTAATGAAAATCAGAGTGATTAGACGTGGACATTCTCACAAGGATTCTGACAGCTTGAGATGTTGGTTCACCAGCTATCCAGGCAA